AAATGTGAAGCTTCACAATGACATAAAGAACACACCTCAAATCGTGGTGTTCCTAGGGGATATGCCTGAACCGGCGAACTAACAATGCCAATCCAGAAGCAGAATGCAAACGAGGGAGTTCGCCACTCCGTCAAGCGAACAAGCGATAAGTGAAATAATGTCAGATCGCACACGTGCACATGGAACAGTTCGACGCATGGGTGAAACAAAGGACCAGTCCGAGTAAGATTAAGCAACTCAATACGATAATCAGAGGGCAGGGTGAGTCAGGCCACATCACGGTCAGGGATAACGGTCACGAGAAACAGGGGGGGGGGAGGGAGATAAACGAGTTCGGTTGTCGAGCGAAGAAATGGAGTCATTCGTGGCGAACGAAAAGTGCAGGTCTGGTGATCACAATAGTACGCACGGGTCAAGACAATGACAAACGAGAGAGGTGACTCTACAGATTTGTGGGTGAAAACGTGTGGATCACAAATCGGGTGCAATCAAATATCCTCACGAATATCCACCTCCAGAATGGCAACAGACAAATAATTGACCTTAATGGACAACAGTGCCCTACCGCGTTCTGTCCACTCCTCATGTCCCTGATTTGTACAAACCATGTGGGAACCAAGCAGAACGAACTATTACAATTGCAGTCAAAATGTTTGAGTTTTTGTGCTTTGCATCGAAAATACCGTTTCTCATCACTACCGGGAACCTACAGTTTCCAAACTCCATATAAATGTTTCCATGAGTCGCTTAACTATTTTCACCATGACCTGATCCAGATACTTGCTGTTATCCCAAATTTGTTTTGAGCTTTTGCACAGAATCACACCATCCACTGGCGTTCATCTGGGCAATTCTGTCATGGTGCAATTTGGTCAATGGATACTTAATTATACGACCATATTCAATCTTTTGCATTCTCATCTCGTTTGCTTTCAGCTTGATGCCACACTCACTGGCCTTATTAATCATCTACTAAGTTTTCTGGACAGCGGAATCGTTGCTGAATATGCCACACACGCAAGCGCCCTGTTCACGATGCTACGGGGCTACGTGGAAATGTGTCCGCATGCCAGTCTACATCTTATCAATTTAAAAACAACAAAACGCCTGTTAAACTATCTAATGGAACCTCAGGTCCGTGACGGATCGTACGCTTCCACATGCACTCCAGCGGGTGCTTTTCTGGCCTGTGCGCCTACTTGGGTGAGTCACTTTTTATCCGGCCTCTTAGTTCATGTCTTCCTATTCATCCATTATTGTTCCAACCTAGGAGTTGTTATACTCCTGTTTCGGAGTCCATGTTGTTGCCTAAGCCCATCTTCAAATGAAAGACCCGCGGTAATATCATATGAATGAACAACTGGCGATCTATGAAAATGTTATTTCAGTACTGAATAGATTGGTAGCCGGTTTCTTATTGCAGCTATTCATGTTCGCCAGAGATCTTACGAAGTTCCGTAAAAGTGAAAAATATGTTTTTCCATGTGGTTTGTTTGCTGCTTAGTTGTAATCCTGGTCTTCACTTTCTCTTTATGGGTTTATTTTATTTTGTGTGAATCAGAACAATCATTGAAATTTGCGAAAAGTATCGCAAAAGACAATCGTTCCACAAGTCCCGCCATTCAACTGCTCCTCAATCCTAAACTTAAAGCACCCTTGACACTAATGTACGCGAAGGAATGTCGAGAGTATCGTTTTGCTATTCGGTAATATGGTAATATGGTCAAATAATTGCAATCACAAACCCAGCAACAGGGAACAGTTCTGCATCTTTTGTTACTATACGTGAGCTTGCGCAAATGTTTAGTGGCAGATGCCACCATAGAAGTATAACTGGCATTGTTATAATATCTTCAAACGCAGTCATTGTGAGAACGAAGTGGACTTTTGATCGCCTTAACATTTCCCGATAGTTACGCTGAATTCAGTGGTTGCGATCAGGTTTAACAGTATGACGTGTATACTTAGTTTAGTGTGTGTTGTAAAATCATGTTTCCTATTGTAAGTGATTAATAAATCCCACTTTCAGCACCGATTTCTGTCCATTAACATGCACTGATGTTTCGATTTTGTGGTTTCATTGGTTTCTCTTAATTGATCGAACTCGTATTTGTGCATTTTATTTGGTGTAGAATGACCACTTGCGCGTATGGACTCCAGCGCAACAGCGTGAAATGGGTAACCTTTATTATCTACTGGCCCTCCTAGTACTACAGACCTCATTGGACGAATACTGCACTATACGACCAACAGGTAGCAGCCCTGCTCACCCTGTTTTGTTGTCTGTGCCGAACACTACAAGCATCGCATCGTCCAAACAAGGTTCCTGGGGCCGTCTCATGCTGCGGCCACACAAAGAGACTGTAACCTGGCTTGGGATCGTTCCTTCAGGCAACTTCGCTGCTACCAATGCATCGTTCACCGGAAAAACATCGTCCCCGAGCGGCACGAAATCACTTGGACCCACGCCACAATCACACCCTTTCCGTCAAGTATCCAGTGAACTTCGATCCGATTCCGGACCGACCGATGACACTTATTTAGTCGGTCTTTTCAATTTGTGCGAAGTTCTCCTACGTGCCTACCTAGAGAATGCAGCCACGCCGAACTTGGCATCGTTATCTGGTATTATTGATGTTGGACGCAATTTAAGCTCTGTTTCAGTTGCCGCCGCAGCCAGCACAGCAACTAATACATCCTCAGGGTCTGCAGGAAACCGCGTTGCTGTCGCCTCTACGAACACAGCCGGAGGTCAGTCGGCCGGTAAAATTGGGGAAGACAGCATGTCTCTTAGGGAGTTG